GAAGTTTAATAATGGCTTTTTTCTGACTCTGTATTTCCCTGAATTGTGGATAGTAGAAGGCTTGAAAGAACAGCTTATCTCACCATTTAACAAAGTGTAATTGAGGTTTAGGCTCATTTTCTCTAGCTCCAAAGTCTATTGAAGAAACAAATATGAGAGCAAGTATTTTCACTGGTGTGGCAGGTTTCCTGGATTTTGATCCTGCTTCTTCTCCCATTGAAACCAGTTGGAAAGCTCTTCACTTGAGGATCTTGTTTTGTTATAATGTGATAGTAACAAGCATCAGTGAAGTAACATATTTTGGTTTTCACATATAAAATCACAAAATCTCTTAAAAAGTCATGCTAAAATTACAACATTCAAAAGATCTCATATGCAAATTGGAATGAGCTCTGTCATGAGAAAAAACCCTTTTCATTTGCAAGAAGCAGTCAGGAAGTTCTGTACCATCCAAATTTTTAATTAAAAAATAGAACAATCTCCTTTCCCACTTGCCCTACCCTGCAACTTTTTTTCCCCACCGCGAAGTTTGATACCAACAGCAATGTATGATTCATGTTTGTTTCAGTGAAATCCAGACAGATAAAACCCCAGCACACAGGTTGTACTTTAATGCACGTAAATCTTGTGGACAGCCCTCTCTCCACACCTCTCTTTGCTCACCCAGCACGGGGCAGGAGGCACCGTGCTGTGCTCCCAGGAGTGACTCCATGGCCAACACAGCGGATAAACCTGAGCCTATCCAGGAATGTGTCTGCATGACAAGTGCCAGATCCAAAGTCAGGAGCCTTGTACCCACCCATGTGTGAGCCAAGTCTATCAGACCTTTCCTCAGTGTGAGGGCAGCACCTGAGCCAGGGACTTCTAGAAGGGTGTAGGTAGGTGGCTGGAGGAGTGTGAGTGCCCAAGCCATTAAGTCACTCAGTCTTGGGAATACTTCCTGAACATTTGGAGTACTAGACCAGTGCAGAAACATTGTGGAGGGAGCACATTTTCCAGAGAGGGTAAAAGAAGCTTTGATCTGAAGGTGTTTCATGACATTAAACTGGGTAATAAAGTAGGTTAATGCAAAACTACGTTTTTGACTCGAAAGCAAAACATCAAGGAGCAAAGCTGAAATTGCACTTCATTTTTCCTTTGTCCCTGGTAGAAAATGAGGCATCTTTCAGTTCAAGGTTGTTTAAGTCTTAGTAGTAGGGAAATACAGGATTTGTGGTATAAAAATATACTCTGTGCTGATCTAAAGTCAACATACTCCCAGTGACGCTCTCCTTTGCATGTGCAGATAACTGCCACTCCCCACTTTACTTTTCACATTGTGCTTTCATGTGTTTGGGTAAAAATTATATCCTCCAAGTCATAGGATGCAAACTATGTGGGACTGGGAAGCAGATGTGATGGGCATTTCCCAAGGTGCTCAGTCCCAGCCCTTCTCATGGAGGGCAAGGGGAGCTGCTGCTGTTTTGATCAGCACACATCATGTTAAAATCTGGTGATCTCCAAAGCATTATTGAAGCCTATGAAGACATAACCAGCCTCTTTCCTTTCTTTACCTGCCATCACTGGGCAGCTGGCACTGCTTTATTTAGTTTTTCACAGAGTTGAGGGTCTCACATTTTCAGGTTTGTTCTTTTTGCCTATGTGGCACTACAGGGTGGGAGAACAAAGGGTTCTGCTGATCTGGTAATTTTGAATGTTTCTCTGTCTCAATTTTCCTATTATTGAAACTGGCAATTATGTCTGTTCATGTTCTAAGGTATCTGTTTGCAGTCTTTTATAAAGCTGGGGTTGTTTGTGTTTTGGTTTTTTTTTTGTTGGGTTTTAATTCAAGCAGTCAAATGTGATCAACAGTGACAATTAGTGACTCATTTAGTATTTTATCTGGAAAGCATTCTTAGGTTTATTTTGCTCATAAAAATTATTGTCTCTGACAGAGAAAATATTCTGGAGTGCATTGTAACACAGCAATTTCTTCACAACCAAGCAATGATTTAGAAAGCAATCTTTTATTAATGTTTTAATTTAATTTTAGTATAGCATTCATATTAATGCATGTCACATTATAATGTCTTTATAAGTACACAGAGTATAAAATAAGACACTTGAGTAACTTCAGGAACTAAATTATGGTCTGTTTAAGAACAATATACTGACATACCTGAGTACATGTAACTGTGGTGCTATGCATATTCTTCCTTTAGTGGTGCTCAAGCACCTTATTTAACTCAGGACTCTTATTTTTACTGTGGTAAGGGACATCAGGCTGTGCGCTATGGAAAAAATCCCTTTGAGGAAGATAATGATACTAAAACCAGGAAGAAAAAATCGTGGTAAGGGACATCAGGCTATGTGCTATGGAAAAAAATCCCTTTGAGGAAGACAATGATACTAAAACCAGGAAGAAAAAATCAGCCAGCAGAGAAAGCTATGCTCTGGGAGTCAAAACTGTAGGACTAAAGTGATAATTACCAAAATTCAAGCAGAGATAGAGCTTTAAAGGATGTTAAAGTAAATAGCAAATGATTCATTGGTTGTTTAAATCAAAAAAGAGAGAAGTGATCTTCTGTGAGATGAGAGGGGTGGTCATCAGAGATAATCCATCTGTAGCTGTCAATCTACACCAGTAGTTCTTCTTGGTTTTCAAGTAAATGATGTGGGTATCATTAGGAAGGCTTTTTAAATCCTCTGAGTGATGTTCATCTGCAATTTATTATCTAACTCTTGTCACCTGTTTTCAGGAAAGAGGTGTTCAGGTTGGAGCAGAGTAGAGAACACCTAGGTCAGGGGAGAGAGAGGAGATCTGACTTGTTTACAAGCAGTAGAACACAGGCTGGGAGGGGATATGGTTATTGCTTGGAGTCCTGCAGGTTGGTAAACAGTACTGAAGGAGTAGCACTGCTTCAGCTGAGTGATGTCACATGAACAAATTTGGACACATTTGCTGACTTCTAGACTGGAATTGAGAAAGCAGGTTGCTAGTTGTCAAATCAGTGAGCAGGGGGAGCAAGAAACAGAAACATCTAACTAGTTTTTAAGATACAGCTCAACAAATCAGTGGAATCTGGTGCAGCTCCTGGTGATGACCCAGGCTTGGAATTGATAAGGCAGATGTCTCTCAGTCCATGCTCATATGTGAAAAGTAATTGTTACTCTCACCTCTTCCCTCTCTTTACTTCTTCTGCCCCTAAAATGCAATGGGTTTAAATAGGTGCTGTCCCATGATGATGTCTGTTGAGTGCAATTAGGTAGGAACTGGACAAAGCAAATACAGGATTTTTCTTAGTGTGAAATGAGTCAGGTGAGGACAGCCTGAGTTGAATGAAGGAGAATATATGACTATCAGTGGGGGGTTTCATGGAAAATGTGTGTTTGCAATGCTGAGAAGTGCTCGGCTTGTTCAGATCAAGAGATTTGAACCAACATCAGTAACACAAGTTAGCATAGCTGAAGAAGTGATCTGGAGCTGTTCCACCCAGTTTTCATATGCTCATATGGCATTTTATAGACATTTTATTTATTCATTAATTGACCGTGTTACAGTTTTAGTTTCCCCCATTTTACTCCTTTTTTTTAATTTGTTTATTCGTTACAACTATATAATTGAGGATTAAAGGGGAACAACAACATTATAAATAATATCTAAAAAACCCCCAATTTTTATTGTACTCCTACTGATAGCAAAGCCATGCTTTGATGTTTTAGTGGCAATAGAAGTTATTCATTAATTGACCGTGTTACAGTTTTAGTTTCCCCCATTTTACTCCTTTTTTTTAATTTGTTTATTCGTTACAACTATATAATTGAGGATTAAAGGGGAACAACAACATTATAAATAATATCTAAAAAACCCCCAATTTTTATTGTACTCCTACTGATAGCAAAGCCATGCTTTGATGTTTTAGTGGCAATAGAAGCAAATATTAATGTGTTACAGTTTTAACTTCCCCCATTTTACTTCTTTTTTTAATTTGTTTATTCATTACAACTACTTAATTGAGGATTAAAAGGGAACAACAGCATTATAAATAATATCTAAAAAACACCCCAATTTTTATTGTACTCCTATTGATAGCAAAGCCAAGCTTTGATGTTTTAGTGGCAATAGAAGCAAATATTAAATATCATTTAGTCTGAGCATTTAAATTAGGCTGTTAAATGTGAATTCAGTCTAAACATTTTCTGGCATGTTTCTGTGTTGCTTTTAAAGGAATGGTCTCTCTTGTGAAGATATATGTTAAAATCTTACACCTCACAGTCTTCAGTGCTGAGTTACCTTCAATACAAGCATGACTTGACCTCTGTGCCAGGCTTTCCAGATAGTGGAACTTGGGTGTGGGGTGGGCATGGCATAAACACCAGCCTTGTCTATGCAGACAGTGTGGGTGAAGCTGTCATGAGTCAAAGAGCCAATGAATTTAAGTGTGGCAATATATGCTTTGTAAGAGGAATTAAGGGATGGACACTTAGGAATCTTCAGGTTAGGAAAATCATACTTGTATGCCTTGATTGTTGTGTTTTAAGTGTGATCTGAATGAAGCAGTGCTTGTGATAAGAGTTGCCTAAGAAAGCTCAAGAAACCATCCAGCTCAGCTGTGTGACAAAGCAGATGCCCAAGGTGCTTGTAGGCAGAGCAGTATTCTAATGAATTTCAGAAATAACATGTGAAGAGTCTGAAAACAGGCCATTTCCAAGACTTCTAGGGAGAGCAAGCCTGTTTCCTTCCATGGCTGAATGCTGCAGGAGGACTTAAGTGTTCCCTGTCTGGAGCTGAGCACCACCAGGCACCTTTGAATACAACTTTCTCCTCTTAGCTTCATCATTTGCCCAACAGTGTCTTGCATTCTGTAGGCAACACGTGGCTTGACAGTGAAGTGTCACAGTGTGTTTTGAGTAATCATGGGACATAAAGGTGGCCCCAAATATCACCATTCTTTCAGATCGCTGAGGTCCCATTGTATAAGTAAACAAGTGTTGTCTTTATTAACTGTTCTGTTCACCAGGTGATGACAATTCTGGAAGGAAGGTGATTACCTTCAGTTGCTGCCGTATGCCCCCCTCCCATCAGCTCAATCACACCAGGTTGCTGGAGTAAGTTTCTTTTAACCTCCTGCATGGACTACTTTACATTTTATATGAGAACCTCTATTAGCTTCTTTCCAGGGCAATGAGCTTTCAGGGAGGAGAAGCAGGAGGCAAGGAGTGAAATTGAAAAAAGGATCTAAGACCTACCAGTGTTAATGTTATGTGAATGAGATGTGAATGAAACTGCCTGTTACCTCACCTGGAGCCTTGACTAGGAGAAGCAATTCGCTGTGTACTGAAATTAACTTGTCTTAATTTTACTAACAAATCCTTACCATATTTTAAAAAATCAATTCATGGTGAGGACCAGTGAAAAGAAATTCTAGTACCTTAGTGCTGCATACATATGTTCTCATGAACAGCAGTGTTTGGCTTAATTTGCTATACTTTATCTCTGAAATCACTCAGGAAGAGTATTGTTTAGTTATTTGCATCTTAGTGGGTTTTCTCTTTTATAAAAATATCTGCATTACTTTCAGTGCATTAGGCTTAACTTTTTTATATGTATCTCATTTTGGGCTTTTTTGTGTTAAAAGACGTTATGAATATGTAAATTGACAACATTGTTCCTTATAAACTTGCTGCAGTAAGGTAGCAGAACATGTTTCTGCCTTTAGTTTGTAGGTACAAGGAGATCTGTTCTGTCACGAGGGTTCTGTCCTTATTAAGCATTTGAAACCTATTCAAAATTCTTGTACAGTCTCCATTGCCAAAATGTTTGAGCACTTTTCAACTATCAGAACCCACCACCACTGGAAAGGACAGAAGTGCTGTTGTCTCAACATTTTAGTAACAGAGAGGAGCAACAGACCATGTTGTTTTATTTTTATGCTCTTCAGAACTTGGGTATTTCCACAGCCTTAAGCCAAAGTTTCCTGTGCAGCACAGAGGGAGTGTTAGTGGCAATGAGGTGGAAGAGACTGACCAAGTCAGCTCCTCACCTAGAGGACATAGCTGCAGTGATTAGTAGGAAATGCCAAAAAAGAAAGGTGACAAACCATGTTGCTACCAAATCTAAGAACCCTTCCTCAGCTCTGTGAGGAGACACCTTGATGAAACTGGGGATTCCAATCCTTAGGCTCTTCTGGACTTGAACACTTAGATGTTTTCCTGTGTCTGAGCCCACATCAGATTCAGCTGGAAAGCTTGTGTGTGCTAGGAGAGAACTGAAGGCAGGAGTCTGAATGTGAAGGTAGCAATAAGAGCTATCAAATGATCTGCTTTTAGGTAGTTAGACTCAATGTTGAATTCTGAGGAAATGCTGTAGAGTAGGCCCTGATTGGTAGGTATTTTGTCATGAAATCACTTAAAGAATTGATTTGGTAAAGCTTTTGTAATGTCCCTGCAATTCTGTTGCAGCCTTGGAACAGGTAATTGACTGTAGAAAAATACTGGTTATTATATGCCCACAAAACACGCTTAGTTATTTTTAAAAGTACAGGTTTTCTGGATGCAATGTGACAAGGAATTTACATGCTGAAAATAAAACACGAGGCACATACTCTGTGTGGAACAACATCTGTTTAGATATATTTTAATTTCAAGCTCTTTTTATGAAAAAATATCAAATGACTGTCACTACTACTTCTTTCATTAAAGTGCCATTAATCTTTGAGTCAGGGATCAAAGTATTATATTAATTGCAGTGAACATCTTTGTCCAGGCTACTTATAGTCTAAGATTTACAGTATGCTGAGGGAATAAGCAGATAAATGAGAGTGTGGGAGTACAGTGTCAGAGTGAAGTTATAGGCTTTTCCATGCAAAGGTGGATAGTCAAAGTGGCCTTCATACTTGCAGATAGCCACAGCCTAGTAAATGTCACATGGAACTATCTGCTTTATTGAATGAAAATCACTTACATACAACAAAGAGCAATAGCTGGGACTCTGTTTCAGAATAAGAAGATAGCATTGAGAATAACATGAGAAATCTGACACAGCAAGACATGAAGCCAGATTGTACTGCTCCATCATTGCTTTATTTGAATCATTGAGCTGTGTAATAGGCCATCCTGTGTTCTCAATTGTAGGAGAAAGGGAAGAGAAAAGCATCTTAAACTGTACCATAAAAGAATGAACAGGCAGAAATCTGCTTATAAAACATGCAGTATTATTTCAAGATGGGATAAGTAGTGCAGTTCCTTAAATTAGTTCTAAGGGAAATGATCTATGAACACAGTCTCCACAATGAAAACAGGGGAAAGGCAAATATATTCAAGAAAAGCTGTTTACAATAACAAATTGTAATTGGCAGTAATTAGGGATAATGGATTTTTCAAGAATTTAGAAACTTCTAAATTGAGAGGAAAACCCAACATATATTCTTTATTGTTTTGAAAAGGCAGAATGATGTTGTTTACTTGCCTAAAAGGAAAGACTTTACAAAGCCCAGAAAAAATGCAAAATGAAAGTTGCTGTTAGTTAAAATGCATCTCTTCAAAAATTCCTTGGCGAACAAAGTCCTGTATTGTCTTAATCTGTAAATGATTCATGAGCACCATAGGTTTTGTAACTAAACACATTCTTTGAAATTTCAGGTCTTGCAATGATGTGGAATTGTTGGCCACATTGCCATTAGAGCAAGGTGATTTTGTTAGATAAATACCTTGAAGCAAACACGAATTTGCAGCCACTAGTGTTCTGTGCAAAAATAGCACATTTTATTTCTCAGTTACTGCTTCAAAAATCTCATCCTGTCTTAAACTGTAAACTGTCTTAAAACTAAAATGTTATCTTTCTCCTCAGGTACTTAAAGTATACTCTGGACCAGTATGTAGAGAATGATTATACGGTTGTCTACTTTCACTATGGTCTGAAGAGTCTGAATAAACCATCTCTGAAATGGTTACAAACAGCCTACAAGGAATTTGACAGGAAGTATGTCTCCAAAATATTTGGTTTGCTCTTCAGATTGTGTAGTGTCTGTAACTAACTTTGATGAAGGAAGTGGATCTTTCCTGACCCACCCACAGCTGAGTTCATTTTGCCATTGCAAATTCTGCTCATGAAATTGGTGCTGTTGGTTCTCTTGTTAAGTGTCTCTGTGCAGTACTGAGGAATGGCCTGGGTGCTGCAGTGGTTATCCAAACGTATAAAAAACCTTAGGAGCAAAACCAAGAGCTGTTCTTTGAAGGTTTACAATATAAAAAAACCTTAGGAACAATACCAAGAGCTGTTCTTTGAAGGTTTACAGCAGAGGCTCAGTAAAGTCTTTTGGACATCTAATTGTAATCTAAGAAACTATGAAGAATGTAAACTTCCACACAAGCAACAGTTTATGCCCGTTGCTTCAAAATAGTAAGCAAAATGGAAACTTTAGTAAAATATCTAGGGGGTTTTGCTTGTTAGTTTTGGTTTTGGTTCTCATCCACAGTAGTGCCAGTTGCACAGGGATAGTTGTTTGCTTGTGTGTGATTGTGAATACAGTGCCAGTTTCACTCACAGATGTACAGGCCCAGTTAAAATCCAAAAGGAAGAACTAATTACTGAGTTGGTGCCTTTCCCCCTCTTAGCATAACCTTTTACAAGGTTTTCCTTACAGTTCATGATCATTTTTTCCCCTGCTCGCTGTTCTCCAGCAATGAGTGCTGAGCACTTTGGGAGGAACGCTCCCTACTGGGAAGCAAACCCGACAAATTAATAAGCAGCAATTTATATCTAAAAGCAGGATATTTCATTATGCATTTCTCAATTTCATTTTGCAGGAACATTGAGTAAGAGCAGAGTCTTTTTTGCAGCCTGGTTTCCGTTTCAGCCTGTTAGAATCTATTGTTTATGTATCATGAAATGACACTAGAATCTAGAAAAGCTCTGATGGAGGAAGGTTTTGTTTCATAGAAAGGGGACAAACAACCAGCAGTTGGCTTCACCATTAGTAATTACTAGCAAAACAAGGCAAAATTAATGGTAAAATTAAGAAAAAAGAAAGGTGTAAATTTTACATCTGAAAATTTAGAAATTTTCTCCCAACATGAAACTCCTGTAAGCAGAAAATAAAGGAAATATGAAATAAAGTAATTATTTTATGCAACAGATTTTTTTTATAGACTCTTCATTCTCTTATCTGTACTTTTTTTCAAATTGCCTCATTTCCCTTTTGTCTCCCTGATATTAAACTTATGAGACAGCAGACACTGGTGAGGAACATAGTAGTGTTAACTTGGCCTATTGTCAAAACTGACCTTTTTTAAAAATTGGATTGGGTTGTGGGGTGGGGTTTTTTTGCATTTTACATTCCATTTCTCCTGAATTAGGTCCTTTGAATGTATTTGAAAAGAATGCTGTGTAATGTTCCTGTAATAATACCTTCCATTCAGATGTAGCTATTCAGTTCTACCATCTGTGGTATTCAAGAGTCTTCTAACAATTTCATTTTCTTTTCCTAGGTATAAGAAAAACCTTAAAGCACTCTATGTTGTACATCCAACCAACTTCATAAAAATTCTGTGGAATATCTTTAAACCTCTTATAAGGTACTTGGCAGTTTATTGAACACATTATTCCCGTTTAGTTCAAGGATGGTTTGTTCTCTAATAAGTTGCTTTTAAAAAGGCTTGAGGTAAAATATGTCAGGTAACTGCACAATACCCATTTAAACTCTCTTGAACTAATGAGTAAGGTGAGCTCAGGCTTGGGTATGCATAATAGGGTAGAGTTCTTTGCTTTCTAAGAAAAGGGAGTCTCAATTCTTAGTAGTTTTACTGGTATGTTAAAGTAAATATCACCTTAAACATAGTTATTCTGTGGACTATGAATGACTTTTTTGTCCTGTTTGACAGCACTTGGCATAATGGAACTGAGTACGTGACTGTTGTTACTGGGTGGTATGGGAAAGTGAATAATGAATGGTTAACCTTTGGGCTCATCTCAAGTGTTGAGAATAGGAATGATACTACTTGTGTGATCAAAGTTAATGGATAAGCCCTGAAGTGCCCATAAGGATATGAAATGGAGGATGTAATGGTGAAGGTGATGTATTTTATTGTGTGTTCTTTTCCTTTGTATGGTAAAAATTGGTGCTATCTACAAAGATTCATCAATGGGCAGATACTGCTAAGTGCCAGGATGGTTGAGTTTGCTTAGCTTCTTCTCCTGAACTTCTGTCACCTTCAAAGTAATTCTAACATTTAGTAGATCATATTATGTCTGTCCTCAGGGCTAGAGAGTGAAAACACCTATCCTGAGAAGCCATAATGAACCAACTGAAAATGTCCATTACAGTAACTTGCAGTTGATTCAATTTCCGACTTGTAGAAAGCTGATTAATTAGAAAGGGGAAGTTTGACTTCTAGACAGATCAGAACATGTAAGATGCATGTGAAAATAAAAAGTTAAAAAGGAATTACAGCTAAAAATCGTTCCAGAAGATGCTGGCAGAAGCAGGATATCCAGTACCTGATGGTGTCTCAGGAATGGGGATGGTTTTTTTTTTGTTGTTGGTTTGTTTGTTCCCAATTTGCTTTAGGATGAGTATGGAGAAATTTCTAGAAAACAAAACCAACAAAAACCCCACAAGAAACCCAGAAAAATTCTTGATGGACATTACAATACACAAGTGAAACCAACTTCTCTCTCAGAGGCAGCAGAGAGCTCCTTGCAAATAGCTCCAGGCAAGTGGTTTTGGGACACTGATGATTTTCAGTCTGTGCATGTTGCTGCTCTCAGTGGAGCCATGGGGCACAACAGCTGTGCTATTTGACTTGCAGCAGTAGTTGACTGCTAATTCTTACAGAATAAAAGTTTTCAGGTATCTGTTCCAAATACTCATTTTCCTGGACCTTACTATGTCTGTGTAGATAAATTAAAAACTTTTTTTTCTTGGAAAGTATGATGCACTGGCAGTTAAATCCTTGTTTACTTGGAATCTGAAATCCTGATAAGCTTAAGCATTAGTATCTAGCATAAACAATTCAAACCAGGGCTTGTCATCTTAGATGCATTGTAATCTCGACCTGAACACCCTGTTCACATTATCAGGATTGGTTGTTTCTATTTGTCCTCAACTTTACCACTGTGTACCTGTATATTTGTTTTGAGTCTAATTTAGTAACACTCTACTCTCTGTTTTTAAAATCTGTGAGCAACAGCAGCAAAGCTGTTTATATGCTGGGACTGACAAAATAGTTGGAAGTCTGAGTAAATTCTGAAAAGGAATTAGCTGATGCTAGGGAAAAAAACCCTGTTTACTCCTTCAAATGGCTTAATAGCCAAATGCTCACATGCATTTGTGCTTTTTGGGGTTGACCCTAGTTTGGGTTTGTCAAACAAGGGAAAACATAATGATATAATTTTAAAACTGAAGTGTGGAAGTGCCCATGGACAATTTGGCTAAATTAGGCTCTCATTGAAAACATTATTAACATCGTTAATTTACTACAGTACAATTTAAAATTTGTTCACAGTACCTTTTCCTTCCAGAGTAGACTAATTTTATCTTAACAAATCATGCTTTTAATTTAAGTGTCACTATTAATCCAAAGTTCACAGAAACAAAGGAGAGAAATCCTCTGGACTGTTTCCTGGCTTTGCTAAATTATAGCCTGAACTCATTTACAGATAGTGTTTCCAATAACAATAGCAGGTGTAAAATAAATTTCATTGTCAAGAAGCATCCATCGATTTTTCAGATGTCTGTTAGTACATTTGGTACCTGTTAGTATATGACCTAAGTACTTTTACATGAACAGTATATTTGCTAACAACTGGATGAGTGGCAGAATTATTAGATTGAAGGACAAAAGTACTCAGTATTTTAGCTTACTTGTATTTGAAAGGACTTAAGAGAATGTAAATACCTGAAATTTTTCAAGCTCCAGAAGCTGATTGATCTCTTTTCAGTCCCAAAACCAAGAAGGTAATGTGTTAAGTGTATTTTCTCCAAATTGGAAAGCAACTGTAAGAAGAGCATACTTCTGTGTGTGAGCTAACCTGTTACTAAAATAACACACACTTAGGTGATAGTGGTGATGTGGCATTTTTAAGGAACAGCACTAATTCCTAATTGCCCATGACATTGTTACAAATTCTGGGGTCTGTGATGTGTCCTGTGTTACCAGAGGTGATTAGTCCCAGAGACCTGTGCTAGCCCTTGGCTTGGGGAGGATGGAAGTGCAGGTTGTTTGGGTAAGAGACATGCTGGAGAGCTCTGCAGTTGTGCATGCACAGACTGATATTCTTCAGTGTCCTGAAATTGCTTTCCTGTTAGCAAAATGTGACTCCTTTCAGTTTAAAGCTTCTCCAGGGCTGACACGACTGATGTTTGTCCCACGTCCCACTAGAGGGAGCGTGTGCATGTGGATTGGACAATCCAGGGATAAATGCATTCGGGCAGAGTTTTTCTCCAATGTTACTACTGAAGTAAGTTGCAGCAAAGTGCACTTTTTATCAACAACCTCTACTATTTTTCTTGACACTTCATTACAGTTCAGATATTTTGTGCTGTGAAAAATATGACCTTATTTCAGGCCATGTGTACAAACATGTTGCTGACCCTGGTTTGAACACTTCAGCCCATAAAGTTGTTCAGGTATTCTGGCCTGACTCAAGACCTAGCTAGTGATACTTCAAATTTGGAAGTCTGTTGTGTACAACTCATAGGAAAAGCTTATTATTCACAGTGTTTCCTAGAAGCTTTCCTGCCCTTTTCAAAAGGGATAAAGCTGATAGCCCAACACTTCAAGGATGTAACACTAGCAATGCTTTGAAAATTTCAGCTGTTGTTTATCTAGTTTATAGTTTATGTCTACAGCCCCATTTTGTCTTTTGGCGGGGGGGAATACCTAAGGAATACAAACATGTTGTTCTGTTGGCTGTGTAACATTTTCTCCCAAGTTAACGGTTCCTTTACAGAGCTTCCTAATGCTGTGTGAAACCTGGTTTTCAGTGGCTTTAAAGTGATGTTTTTCATATCTATGCAAATCACAACACATTCAGATGGAAGTCAGTTATTTTTATTCAAATCAGACTCTCAGGCATGCACTGTGTATGTTTGATCATATGAAATGAAATACATCTTATGTCTCCTGCTGCTTCAATTACAGTCTAATTTTAAGTTGCATCAGCACTTACATTTTTGTAATAGAAACTAAACCCTTCGTAAATGTTCCTACCATGCTGATTTTTATACTGCTTTGTGATTTTTTTCCCTCCTTTTTTTTTTTTATTTTTTAGCCATAAATTTGGGAAAAAAGTCACCTACTTGAACTATTTAAGTGACCTGGGAGAGCATCTCAAATACGACCAGCTCAATATCCCTCAAGAAGTCATCCGGTATGTGACAAATTTAATATACATCACCTCACTTTTTCTCAGATAAAGCTGCAGCCTGTTCACTGTATTGTGAGCAGAATCTATTTCTTCAAATATTAAAAGTCTAATTTACCTGTTTGTGCTTGGCTGGATTAATTCTGAAATCTGCATTGCCATTAAAGACATGCTGAAGTGTGTCAGGTGTTTAGGGAAGAGAACGCTCTGTAGTTTTCTGCAGATTTGGAACATCTCCATTTCTTAATATAATTGCAACTTGTGTGTGAGTGTTAGCAAAATCAATCCATATGTTGTTACTGCTTATGAGTATCACATAATGTTCGTGGGCAAAACTGTCATCCTGACCTCTTTCCTTGCATATTGTACCAGATTAAGTGGCTTCCTTTCGTTAAGAGCATTCCCAGTCAGCAAAGTGTTGATTGATTTTAAACTTTATGGCTATATCTATCGTTAGCAGATCCATTGCTTTTATGTCATGCGTGTATGTGTGTTGGGGAGGAGTACTGGAGAGGGGGTGGGAGAGGAAAAGGAAGAGAAATGCACAGGGCTGGGATTGTCAAGTGCCAGTATTAGTATCAATAACAGCCTTTCCCACACAGTGCTTTACATGGAAATGCTTTGATGTACTGACAGGAACTGATTTTATGTCACTACTGAATGAAAGTAACTGGAAGCTTTGATTATGACTGTTCCTGATGCCTGGTGGGTTTTTACACACTTTTTGTGTAAATCTGGAATAAGAGAAAATACTTTACAGCCCTAAGGTTATAAATTGGATTGCATGGTTGCCAAAGAAAAGAGAGTTGTATTTTGAGTAGCAAATAGGTTTGAATTTTGCTGTTAAATTATAGTGTGTTCCTATTTTTTGGACACATTTATTACTATGTTCCACTGGCTGAAGCAGAAAAGCTCTCTTCTATGTCTTACTTAAGTATTCTGCCACAGATATTGCCTAAAAATTTCCTCATGCTGAAATTAAATGCAAGTTCTGTAAGACCTGCAGCATATACACAATTGTCAGGAGATCAGCATCATGAGAAATACTGGTAGCTGTTCATATATATAGTCTGTCATCTGTGGTGCATAGAAAATCAATGAAATCTTGATATGTTTTTTGTAGACATGATGAAAATCTTCGGAGGAAACAGAAGGGAAAACTGCCACCTGTGGTTAAGGTTCCTCCACCACGGCCACCTCTACCTACCCAGCAATTTGGAGTCAGCCTGCAATAGTAAGCAATGAGATTTCTAAAATACAAGATTTCTGTACCCTACAGCTTTCTGTAATGTGCCAGATTCACCACACAGACTGTCTGCAAATAATTTGGCTGCTACATGCTTAGTTTCTCGTTCTCTTGGAAAGCTACAAAACTATGATGCTAGAGAAAAGGTTTTACGAATTCAGGACAGGTCTCACAGTCCCAGTGACCTGCCTGATCTTCATGTTTACAGTATCTTTGTGATAGTGCTATTGTGGTCACACAACTTTTCTCCCTGTGGACAAAAATTTGCTGATGTATGACAGAGCCCCAAGTTAATCTGTTGCTGGTGGATGCTGGCAGTATGAAAATGTTTTGGGGATACTTAGATGGTCATTAGCCTAGCCAAAACAAAGCTTCAGGCTCCACAATTGCTGCATAAAGCAAAAATGGATGCTTGAACCCTTATACATTCTTGTTTTGTTGCTCACACATTGTTCTGATCAGAGTTTTATGAAATGAATAAAATCTCTTGCAGAAATGCCCTGACAGCTGTTTGCATAGATTACAGCACTGTATGTGGTATAAAAAAACGATTTACTTTACACGATGAATGGGATGGCAATAGTACTTGCAAGATTCAATTTTGGTAGAAAACAACCAAAAAAAGGGCCCACAAAACCTTCTAGCTTCCTACCCACAGTCACGTCTGTCATCTTTCTATGGCATCCTTCTCAAAGACAGCTGAGGAATATTGTTCACATTCAGCAAAGGCAATTTAAGCTGTCTGATACATGGACTTTTTTCAAATCTCCTCCCACCCCCCATCCACTCTTCTGGTTCTAATGATTCAACTGTAAATGAGATATAAAATAAAATTTTCCAATGGTTAAATGTTAAGCATTAGTCCTTTCTGGAAGGCCTGAAATTAGTACAATCAATATCTATTGTGTAAGAGCTACTATGACATTAACTTTTATGTTACCTCTTTAGAGTTCAACCTAACACATGAAACATGGCTAACTCACTTCCCTGATTTAGAGAATATCTTTTAGGTGGCCTTCACTGTGTCATTAAGAAGGACAGTGTCTAACTCAGAGAATATCTTTTAGGTGGGCTTCACTGTGTCATTAAGAAGGACAGTGTTTTATGCCATCACAGTACAAAGCCAGGACTGTTTGCAGGCATCAGGGCACACTCTGTCACTTGCCTCCAGCCCAGCCTGGTGGCTCAAGCAGCTCTATTGACCTTCTCACAGGCTTATGCCATCAGACAGCATGTTGTGTGCCACTCTTACCATCTGCTAGTCCTATTTTATTTCTCTGGCTGTGCCCAAACAGTAAACAGTGTCTTTTGCTGGGCTGCATGTGGTGGCCACCCTTCCTGGCCCTGCTGCTTTCCAGCTGCATCACCATCAGCAGCTTGTGTCCTTGCTGCATGCTTTGGCTATCCCAAAGTATAAAAAGGGTGGCTGCTTCAGAAAGAGCTTATCTGTGGGTGGAAAAACACCCAGCAAGGCCTTACTATCATTTTTGACTGAGAGAATTCCAGTGCTGGGGGTGGAGGCACTGACAGATTGATGCCCTCTGTGTGTGGGTGCAGTTCACAGCACTGAGGTGCCCAAAGTGGATGTACATGGGGATATTATTGCCTTCTGTCTGCCCACCCATGTCCAGATTCACTCTCGCAGAAAATACAGAGTGGCATCACCACTTAAAAATTACAAATGAACAAATCCGCTGCAATTCTAAATCAGAAATAAAGGAATTAATTATGCTGTGTTTGTGAAGAAAGGTAAGATTAATGTAGGAGAGAGAATATGTATTGGGAGCGTAAACAATTGGAACCAAATAAAGGTATCAACTTTCATCTTGAGGAATTAATTGCTTTTGCTAATTCCCTCTCCTTTTATCATCTCTATAAACTGTAATGGCAAAATGGCAGTGGCATTCCACCTGTCTAGCAATGAGGCAGGCATGAAGTTGTCTTCTGGTTGAGAAGCTCTTCCCCTTTTCTGAAGAAAACTACAGGAGGACTCTGATTTTGTTTTGTACAGGTTTATGGGAATATGTGTATGGGAATATTTCATTACAGTTAGTAAAAATTCAGGGAAGCTGCTGAGATAAAACTGTCATTAAAGGGCTGATTCTCTGCAGAGCCTTTCTTTAGTTTAAGAATAAAAAATATAAGGCCCATAGGCCTGAAATCTCATCAGATTCAGTACTTCTGGTATGATGATTTTTATTCAGTCAGTAAAAGGTTTGTGAAGGGCATTTATCCAAGCCCTCCTAGGTGGCCTGATTTTGCTAAGATGTTTGGTAATGATATCCCAATGTCTGGCTCTGGAAGGTGGCAAAGCCACTCCCTTTAGAACACACCTCGCTAGAAGCAGCAGGCCATGCTCTCTCTGGTAACATGCCCTCATTTAATGTTTTTAGCAGTTTAATGTTGGTTAATACATTTGCCTTTCAGTGTTATAATCAGAAACTAGAAGAGCAGAAAGTGCCTAAGCATTGGTTCAAAATATCTCACTTTTGTCCAACAGAAGAGGGGGGGAAAATCCTGTTTTGTTAGGACAGCAAAGGGAAACTGAAGGAAGTTTCCATCTAGACACTGATAAATGTGTGTCTGAGACCAGTGCCTTGTCTTGGAGGAATCTGTTAACTCACAAAGATAGTTTTAACCTTGTATAGTCAGATTTTCAAAATAACATCAGGCAACTGGGCATTTAAAATTCATGGAAGGTCTGTGAGAGCTGCAAGTATAATTCTTTGAAATGTAATCTATACTGAATCGGGTTCAATTTATGAGCAAACTGAAAGGCTTATTATCAGGTTGGTTCGAAACATTTCTTTCTTATTTTACTCCCATCCACTCAGGATGCAAAATCTGACTTTGAAATGGCTGCCTTTGGTCTGTTTGAGTCCTCAGTGTCACCCTAAGCTCTTTGTGGGGAGGAAAAACCAAGCACACACCAAACTGATTTCATCTTGTGTCTATCCAACTTTACTTACATTTTCTTGCCTGAGATTTAAACATGAACTTTGTTAGGTACAGATGTGAAGTGGAAAATCTTCCTCATTGTGAGCTCCTGTGAGGACTCAATCTGGTCTTTGCAGCTAGACCTTGAATCTAGTACCAAGCTGTCCTGAAGTTTCCACTAGCCACACTAATTCCAACAATACTAAATGAGCTTAGTTAAAGCATCCAAAGTTGCCTTATATGATGTCTTCAGAATAAAGTGTGTGGGACCAAAATAGATTGGCTGTTAATATTTCAGTTTTTCATGCCTGCATGTACAGAGCAGACTTGCTCAGTTTGCTGAATGAGTCTTTCCACAACAATTCTGATCCCTAGCCTGTCTTCCCTAGTTGCCAAACCGTACCTTTAAATGTTTGAACTCATGTTAAAAATGATGGGATTTTCTTGAAAATATAAAATGAGACAACTGAAATGGATGCTAATCTTCATGGGGCTCTCAGAATAGTGCTGTTCATAGAAGTGAGTGGGAAAGCTTGCACATTTACTGTTTATTGTGTCCTGCTCTAACTTGCTTGTTCAAGCTTTTTACATGCAGTTAGAGTGAGGAGAGTAACAACCATAATGAGCTAGTTGTAAGGTTCATCAAGCCTCATATCCTGTCTTCAACAGAGGTCAATAGCAGGGAGCATCATTGGAACAGGGCAAGCATATAGTGATACCTCCTCAGGTATAATCACAGAATCATAGAATATCCTGAGCTGGAAGGATGCACAAGGAGTCCAACTCCTGGCCCTGTACAGAAAAACCCAAATAATCCCATCATGTGCCTGAGAGTGTCGTCTAAATGCTCCTTGAGTTCAGTCAGGCTTGAGGCCATGACCACTGCCCTGGGAGCTGTTCCAGTGCCCAAACACCCTCTGGGGGAAGAACCTTTTCCTAATATCCAACCTAATGTTTCCTAATGTCACAGCTTGTAGTGGCCAGAGGCTTGGCAGAGGAGAGTACTACAATACTATGGAAATTACTTTTTCTGTTACTCACCAGTAGCTATTGCTTTTATAAATCCAAACTTTTCAAAGAATGTTCATGCATTGTGTTGTTACATCAAGACTAGTTTTCCTTCTGTTCTTTCAGCAATGCTACCTTCACATAAAAACCCATAGAGC